GGGAGAGCAATGTTTGGAGACTTCTTATTTGTGCCTTCTTTTTCTAGGGTAGAAGGATGGCGGTTGGAGTTTTAACTTCTGGAAGCTCTTATTTTGCTCAGAGTCGCTTTATTGACGACTTGCTCTGTTTTCTTGAGGGCATTATTTGGAGACTCGGTCTCAGTGATTTTGTTTTCAATCACAAACATGGAGCTAGTCTCTTTATATGCATGAATGCTTTTCATTTTTTTTTGTTATTTATCTGAAGTGATTTTTATTTCTTTCATTTTTTTACCTTGACAAAGTCGTTTTGTGCGACTACTTGTGTGTGGATGCCTTAAATGCAATGTATCCTTTTATTTGATGCATCTAGAGAAGTAACTGGTATCCTGCTGGAATTTCATGATTATGATGAAGGGTCCCTCTCTTTTATTCATTTTTTGGTTTAGCCCTACCTTTTGCCTAGACCGCCCTTTTGGGGTTTTCGGTCTAGCGAGCTGCCTTAATTTTTGCCTAGGATATCTTAGCGGGTTATGAATTCCCTAACTTTTGCCTAGACCGCCCTTTGCGAGTTTTCGATCTAGCGGGCTACCCTAACTTTTGCCTAAGAATCTCCTAGCAGACATTATTCTTTTTATGTTCATTTTTTCTTTCTCTTCTTGTTTTTTTTTTAGAGATAGGACCCTATCATATGCATGCAATGTTCGCGATATGCATCCTACAATGCTACTTCAATTAATATTTCAAAAGGATTAATGAAATGTGCTTTTACTTCTGATGAGCTTCTGATGTTATGTGCTTTCGTTGATAGGATAGGCTGTACCGATTTCACCGTCTTGACTTTGCCGTGACCGAAGAATGATTGTGTTGATTGTAGAGCGACTTGCCATGTCAGTGTGCCCCTCCCTTTCCTTGGGGATGTCAATCCTCCTATTGATTACTATCTCCACATTTCCCTAATAATTACTAGAATGTCGTAGTGGTAAGGGTGGTAAGGGTCAAGAGAAGAGAAAGAAGAGGATATTTAATACAAAGGCTTGTGTTTTAGAATTGTTTTATTTTGACAAAAAATGGTTGTCGCCGCCGTCAGAAGAGGCGGTCGGAGCGACGCGATGGTTTTTAATTGACTCGCGTTTTCTTTGAAAGAAACGGTTCAACGCCTTTAGGCCGTCCGATAACCGGGCTAGACCTAAGGGCGAGGTTTTCGAATAGGTTCGAGGAGTCGCCACCAGTGTTTTAACCTTAAACACTGAAAAAGGTAAAAAAAGAAAAGGCAGTGGTTTTAGAAAAAACCAACTTTGGCCATTACAACCAGAGTCGGGTAAGGGAGTTAGTTACGTGCGGGGAAGGTGTTAGCACCCCCACAACGCCCCTTTCGGGTTCCCTATGATGGACTAACTTAGAAAATAAATACTTAAAGAAATTACATTTTTACCCTATTATTTGATCTACTTGCAGAATTTAAATATTTACATGGCTCTACTATCTAATGCACACAAAGAAAGCGATAAAGAAAGCATTAAAAGAGACAAAGAATAGAGAAGAAACCTCCGAAGCGAGCTTTATATTAACTCTTCTAAAACGTGAGGACGCTTTTTGGCAGTCCCCGCACTCTACAAGCATGCTCCTCTCCGCAAAACAAAGAAAAGTCACTCAACCGAGGGCCGAATGCCTCAAAGAGAGACTTCCTTAACCGATTTCAACCTTAACGGAAATCGGAAAGCTCCCTCGAACGCCGGGATAATACTCAGGGTCACTCTCAAGTGCCAAAAAGCTTCCAAGAGAGTGGAGGAGTGGAAAAGGTGTGAATTTTCGGAGGAATGAGACCTCTATTTATAGGGATTCAGGCCTGGAAAAGGCGAACGACCGTCTGGACAAAGCGGACGGCCGTCCAGGGCAAAAAGTGGCCATGGACGGCCGTCCAAGCTAAGTGGACGGCCGTCCATGGGCTTAAAGTTGCCATGGACGGTCGTCTGCTTGTCATGGACGGCCGTCTGCCTGCTCTGGACGGCCATCCGCTTGTTCTGGACGGCCATCTGCTGTCTTTGGCGGATTTCCCGATTTTTAATGCCTCTAAAAACCCTTCCTATCCTAAATGGAACCTAGAACAATCTACTAGGGACTTGATAAAGTCTTAACCATCTTCGAAATGGGCGATCTTTGGCTTTATTAGGAGTCCGGGCAAGATTTGGGGTCTATAGCTGCCCCCCCTTTACCCGACCAATTGACCATGGGTTAACATACTATAAGGTCAATTGGCGGGTGAAGGAGTTAACCCTCTTGCCTGGTTGTCTTCTGGATGCTCCTCTTGCTGTGGAGGCTGACCCTTCGGACGATATGCTGTGAGGCTTCAGGATGCTCCTTCGGTGCGGTAGCTGACCCTTCGGCTGACACGTAGAGACTTTCGGGATGCTCCTTCGATGCGGTAGCCGACCCCTCGGACGAGAGTATGACCCCTATTAGGTTAGATGCCTCAGGATGCTCCTTTGACGCGTAGCCGACCCTTTGGCCGTGGTGGCGGCTTCATCGCTTCCGGCCATGCGCCGACTTTGCCTCGTGTGCAGGTCTTCGTCTTCGGGTCTTTCCGTTTCCCGAAGAGGTGGTGGCGGCTCATCGCTTCGATCATGCGCCGGCTTTGCTTGGTGTGCAGGTCTTTGTCTTCGGGTCTTTACCTTTCCCGAAGAGGTGGTGGCGCGCATCGTTTCGATCACGTACCGGCTTTGCCCGGTGTGCAGTGTCTTTGTCTTCGTGTCTTTACCTTTCCCGAAAGGTGGTGGCGGCTCATCGTTTCCGATCACGCGCCGGTTTTGCCTCGGTGTGCGTGTCTTTGTCTTCGTGTCTTTACCTTTCCCGAAGAGGTGGTGGCGGCTATCTTGTTTCGATCATGCGCCAACTCCATGGGGAGTGATTGTTCTTGATTTTTTGTGTAGTTATCCGGTATGCCGGGGATTCTTCGTTTTTGGCTTTTTTGTTTAGTCGTCCAGCTTCTTGACTACTGGGGATTCTTGATGAATACCTCTTAGGTAGGCAGTGGATCCATTGAGGATTTGTTGATTCCGGTGACGCCTCCGGGTAGGCAGATATTTCATTGAGGTTCCGATAGTGCCTCGTGATGCTTCATCGAAGTGAAGACTTTTGGCCGTAATGTTTTGCCACTCGAATAGGCTAATACTCCCTTTTGGGGATGTTGGCTCTTGATGATGCCTGTGAAGATTGCATTTGGGTGTGAATTCTTCTTTTTGGTGATCCATCAGAGATTTGGTTGACTCCTTGGGGATCAGATTTTGATAACCCTTTGGGAGAATGGGGTCTCGACTCCTTAATTGATATGGGTGCGAGCTGGCGTCGTCAAGCTCTTATTCTTGCTGGGGAAAGGGAATTCGTTGTTTTCTTCAATCGTCCGACTTGTTGGTTGCCGGGGATTTTGATGATTGCCTTTTGGTGTTGGCAGTTGGAATATTTGATTAATTTCTCATTTTGATTTGGAATGACGCATGTGCCTTTTTATCTTCTTAGTTTTTTTTTCTAAGCATGCTGACTTTTGTATAGAGATGCAATAAGATGGGAACAAAAGGTCTCATTTTATTTATTTTTTTGCAGAAAATTAAAGTACAATAAGAGCTTTCATAAAGATCTCAGCTTTCCGGCTCTGAGTTGGATGCTGAGGATGGTGATGGCGAAGGGAGTCGGCGGAGTACGCGGTGCTGGAATTCTTCCTGGCTTCGGATCATGCCGTGTATGTCCTGGCCCATTGTGTCCATTCTCTGCATGAGGCTGTCTACCCTCGGGGTAAGGCTTTCCCGGCCTTGCTCATAACTCCGCCGCCTTAAGGACAACCGATCGATCCGTCGGCACGAGTGCCGGTACCGCCTATCCGAGTGGGCCCCGTCGTCGCTCATGTGCCGGTGTAGGTTGGCGAGACTATCTTCGTACCGCGTTTGTTCGTCGTTGGGCTCCCGGAGCGACGTGCGTCTCTTGTGACTTCGAAGCGTCCATCTCTTGGATGTCGAACGTCATAGCAAGGATGGGGTGTATGACCCAGGAGGTGCCCCGACGGGTGAGCATGCTCATGTGGGCGAGTACTGGACCATCTATGAGCTCTGGTCGCAGGCAGCGTGGGATGTCTTCTCCATCGATGCATCCCCAATACTCGCCTAGAGGAGTGATAAGGGGGCCTACCATGAGGGATCTTGCAGGGCCTCGCGTCCCAAAGTCCTTCAGGGCCTTCAAGAAGAGGTAGCCTGGGTTGCATCGGATCCCTTGATGCATGCAGTAGATGACAAAGAGGTCCGCCTGGGTGACCTTGCCTTGACTTTCCTTCCGACTATGAAGGGTGCCTGCTAGCAATTTATGACAGATGCGGAGAGGCGGGAGGAAGGCAGTCCCTTTTGGATTGGTGGGAACGTGCCGGGAGCCGGTGACCTCCTCCCATATCCGACCGGGTGGTGAGGGTGGCCGGCCTTTCACGTGCACGCCCCCCGTATTCCGGTGTCTCGGATCTCTGCGGGTTGGTGGAATCCCATGAGGACGTTGAAGTCGTCTATGACATTAGTCCAGTAAGCCCCATTCATCCAATAGGTGACTCGCTGGGATAGGCGGAAGCCTGGGATCATAGATGGTAGGTCTATGAGTGTGACCGAAGCAAGGAATTCCAGCGTGGTCGTGCGATGGATGCGGTAGGTGGATCTTTGAGCAGAAGTCCCACCCTATACCTTGGATGTATCTCCTCACATCTTTATCCCAACCGAACATGGCTAGGATGTTGAAGTCCAACCATAGCATAGGGTGCCAAACATACCGACCGATATTGGCAAACCTGGCCTCGGTGCCGCTTCCGTTAGTTGCGTGGGAACCTGAGGAGGAGGGATGCTCCTTATGGGTCCCCGGGAGCGCTTCCGACGTGTAGACGACTCTCCACGATCCATTACTTGACCAAGAACACTCAAAATATGCAGAGGGAGGTGTAGGAGGAAGGGAGAATGCAAGAATGAGGTGCCATGAACCATTTGGGGTGCCTAAATTTATAGGCAAGAGAAACAGGGGCGGACGGCCGTCTGCCCTAGGTGGACGGCCGTCTGCCCCCAACGGCTACCCATGGACGGCCGTCTAACAAGGGTGGACGGCCATCTGCCCCAACGGAAACCTCTGGACGGCCGTCTGGCAAGGGTGGACGGTCGTCTGCCCTCCAACGGCTCCTTCTGGTCGGCCATCTGCCTTAAACGGACGACCATCTGCTCTTTTTTTGCTGTTTTTTTATTTTTTCTTTTGTTTATTATTTTTTAAGGAAATAGGACCTTATTCATTAACATCTATGCATGTAATGTTCATGATATGCAACTTATAATGCTATTTCAATTAATTACTTTCAGAAAAATTAACTGATGTACTCTTGACGGAGAGATGCTTCTAACGGAGGGATTCTTCCGGTGCTACCTTCAACTGTACCATTTCTGCCATTTTGGGTTTTGCCTTAACCGAAGTATGATCGTGTTGGAGAGCTATTTCGTCATACTCGGTGTGCTTCTTCCCTTTTTCGAATTTTAATCCTCCTATTGATTACTCGTGCTTTCATATTACCCGTTAATCGCTAGAATATCATAGTGATAAGGGTCAAGAGAAAAGAAGGAAAAGGATGATTTAAATAAAAGGTTTGTGTTTTTAGAGGGGTTTTTTGAAACCAATGGTATCTGTAAGCACGACTAGCCAAGGTTAGTCAAACTGTTTAGGTTTAGCTTAAACAAACGTCTATTTGTGGGGTTGCGTCTTTGCTTGGTGAGCTTTGCGGCGCTTGCTAAGACTGATTGTCTTTCCTAGACCGGCCTTCGGGTTTTCAATCTATGATATTGTGTTTCGTCCTTAACTCTTGTTGGGGTTCCTTTTTATTATGCTTTTAGAAACCCTAATGGACTTTGTTTTGTAACCCTATTTTTTGCCTAGGCTACCCTTTATTATTGGTCGGGTTTCCTAGCGGGTTGACCCTAACTTTTGTGTAGCCCCCTTTTGTGGGTTTCCTACCGGGTTGGATGCCCCTTTTTTTTGGCTTTTGGCTTTAAAGGGCTTTTTATTTATTTTGGGAATGTTGGAAAAACATGGTTTCACCATGATGGGGTAAAACCTTATTCGTGTTTCTTGGTCAATCAATGATGGTTTAATTTGTTTCTTTACTGTTGGTGCGCTTTCAAGTTTTTAGACGCCTTTTTAGAAACGTTTGCTTAAGCATGGTTATTAATGAGGCGTAGACATGAGTAGTAAGAAAAGAAGCAGATAGTAAGAATTATATTCTCCTGTGATTAAAAGGGTAATATGTGCCCTAAAAATGGTCGGGGGTCGGGCTGCCCCCGGGGAGTAATCTCTAACAGTCATTGGGTTTACATTCCTTAAAAAATGGAAGAAGAACACCTAATGACTAAAGTTGCTCCTGACGCCTGTATCCCTCCGCTTCGAAAGATTTGATTCAGTGGGCGGAGGGGAGACTTTCCTTTTATTCTTGTATTAGGGTTGTACCCTAGACCGCGTTTCAAAGGATTGTCCTTGAAATCTGGTGGCTCTCTTATTCCTTGGGAATTTGTACCGAGTCCCTGGCCTGGGCGGTATCCGTGTTTTGTCATCATATGTGCCACCCTCATGTCATTGGGAAGTCTTTCAACATTGGCAATCTCTAGCGCTTGAAAGGATGTTTCGAGGGCCTCTTCTGTTGCGTCCACATAAGGTAGGGTAGACGGTTTACTGATCAAAATGTCATTTTCGGCTTGAACTGTGACCAGTTTGTTGCCTACCACGAATTTGATCCTTTGGTGGAGTGTTGATGGGATTGTTTTGGTGTCGTGAATCCATGGTCGGCCGAGGAGGAAACTGTAAGTAGGAGTGATATCCATCACATGGAAGTCCACGTTAAAAATAGTGGGACCTACGCGGATTGGTAGATTGATTTCTCCTACTACCTCACGTTTTGATCCATCGAAGGCTCGAACGACGGTGTTGCTTGGACGTATATGGGCTCCTTGAATTGTTAATTTGTCGAGTGTGCACTTAGGCATGACGTTCAAAGATGACCCATTATCCACCAGGACTTTGGCGATGAGGTATTCTTTACACTTGACAGATATGTGCAAAGGCTTGTTATGGCTCGACCCTTCAGGGGGAAGTTCTTCATCGGTGAAGGTAAGATGATCACTGGTTGTGATGTTCCCAATGATTCCTTCGAACTTGTCTTGGGATATGGTGTGGGATACGTAGGCTTCGTTCAAGACCCTCAGCAGTGCATTTTAGTGTGGTTCCGAACTCATTATCAGAGACAACAAAGTTATCTTCGCGGGCGTGCGGTTGAGTTGGTCTATGATGGAGTATTCGCTCTGCTTTATGAACTGGAGTAATTCGTCTGCTTCCCCCTTGGATTCTCTTTTGTTTTCTTCTTCAGTTTCTTTGTTTTTTTCTTTATTGTTGGGGGAATCTTCTTGTGAATCCTTGGGAGCATATATTCGCCCACTTCTGGTCGTGCTCCCAATACCGGCTATATTGGAAATGTCTTTATTTACTGTGTATTTCCATGGTACAGCTTTGTTTGATTCGTAGGGGAAAGGACGAGGCATGAATAATCGTAATGGTGTCCTAGTCCCCTCTTCTTTACTGATAGTGATAACCAGCAGTTGAGTTTTATTGGCCATTGTGGGTGGCTCAACCGTTGAGGAAAGACCGATGATGAGTGGTTTTCGTTCCATTCTTTTCTGTTGTATGACAGCACATCAGTTAACCTTTCTTTTTTGCTGTCTTATTAATTTTTAAAGCAAGGAGAGATATGTGAATGAATGCGAGATGAATGCAATAAACAGTTATATAGATAAACAAAAATGATTCTATTTATCTGGAGAAAGTGTACATTCCCCTAGACCATGCTACGAAGTACGTTTTGGCAGAAACGGTAAAGCCTAAAGAAACCCACAGGCGGGCTCTGGTTTCTACGTAGTTCCTCCTCGGCTTCCCGTACATGATGAGTGAGTACTTCAGACTGGCGATGGACCGCCTGACTCATATCTTTGCTGTATTTACGAGCCTCTTCTATCTTTGCCTCTTGATGGATGACCAATGCCTGTAAGTCATCAAGTTTCTCAAGGGCTCGGTCTCTTTCTTGCAACACTTGGTCGTACTGAGCTAATCCGTCTCTTTCCTTGCATCTTAGCTCAACCAAGTCTCTGCTAAGTCTTTGGGCGACTTCCCTCTTTTGTTGTGCGTTAGACCGAGTTTTTTCGTGGTCTCGTTGTATTGTCTTGGTTGCATGTGCCTGCTTTGCCAATTCAGCCTCAAGGTGTGCTAATTTGGCCGTTATTTCCTGGATTTGATTATCCGAGCCTGCTCTAGCAACTTTAGATGCTCGGGCAACCTCTTTGTTAGAGTCAGCACACTGGTCCTTGAGACGCTCTATCTCTTGGGTCTTCTTTTTGCACTGCCTTTGCAGACCATCGATGGTAAGGATAGATTCTTGTTCTTTTTCTTCAAGGCTCCTCAATTGGGCTCCCATAACTTCTATCCTTTAGGTCAAGGCACCGACTCGGGTTCGTAATTCTGCATTTGCTGACGGTGAGGGGAATGGAGTGGATGGATGTGGCACCCCTCTATTTTTCCTCCATTCCTCAAAATCGCTGGAAACTGCTATTTGAGCTCTACCAAGCTCTTCGTCCCCCTCATAGACTAGTTTCTCCCATGCTTTTCGGATCGCGAAAGCGTCCTTGAAGCTATTAGAATTGTAGAAGAAACACAATCCCCCGATTTCTTCTTGTGTTGGGGTGGTCTGGGTCCTCATGAGCTGCCTCAGAGCTATCTTTGGAGAATAAACTATGAAGCCCCTGAGGCCCAATAATGGTACACTGGGGTGATCTCCGCATCGGATGAGAACGGGGCCAGGTCGGAACCAAGGACATGCCCAAGATATGTGATCTATGTTCCAGTGCTCCAACTCAGTCTTCCACTCTATGGCACCACGATGATGGAGGGGGATCTTCGAGAAGCTTCTCAACGGGTCTGGGAATGCTCCCATATGACTTGAAGCATAGAAGTGAGTGATACCCCAAACAAACAACAATGCAGAACAACAACGAAGTGTTTTTCCTTGTTTATGATGACAAAATTCTACTGACAGCAAGGTGTCGGCAAGAAGAGCAGGCACAGGACTTTTTAAATGTGCCTCCCAAGCAAAGAAGGCGTCCATTGCGGCATGATCTACGGCGTCATTATGGAAAGGGAATAGAAAGGTCCCAAACATAATTAATGCCGTAGTCTTGTTGAAAGTGGGCCAATCTCCTTTTTCAGCCGGAGAGGATAAGTGGTCCTCTAAAAGTGATATCTTCCACCCCCGAATGCTCCCTTTTCCCTTCGTGGCGGACCGTGAAAGTGGTAATCGGATGAGGTGAGCGACCTTGTTTATCGAGACGTAGGCCCCCGGCCAATGTATACCCCAGCTGACTTGGGCCATTTGATCATAAGTTCGTACTCTTCCAAAGTCGGAACCAAATCAAACTGAGGGAACTCGAAGCAGTGTAATCTGGAGCTCCAGAAGTGGATTAGGACCCTGATGAACACATGGTCAACAAATATTTTCAAGAGGTCCAAAATCCGTCCATAAGATCTCTCGAAGTCGGATCGAACTTCTGATGGCATAAGTGCACACAGCTGCTCCAACTTCTCAACACGGTATCGGGGAATATCCACTTTTTCCAACTATTTACTGCCTGATCCCTCCATTTACTAGAAATGACAGAAAATGCATGGTATGAGTATGATGCTTTCGTATGCATGAAAGTGTTTTTTTTTCTAAATATTATCATGTTTTATTTTCTATATGGTACATGATTTTTGTGTGTATATATATATATATATATATATATATATATATATATATATATTGAAAAATAATAAAACTACTTATATGATGGATTCGATGCTTAAAAAAGGCCCGATTTCCTTTCATTATGGCATTTATTTTGATTTATTTATTATTTATTATTTATTTTTTTTAGCCTTTGATCTCTTCCGTCGGATCGCGTGGCTACTTAGCTTACAAAGAACCTGAAACCAGGCTAGCTAAAAGGCAGACTGTCCGAGATAAAAGTGTTTTATTGCGAAAGAATTTTTTGAGATTTTGTTTTATATTTTTTTTATTTGCTGTTGTATGATTATGATATGCGACAAATAAATGCAACAAACGAATGCACAAACAATTCACTCATCCGCGAACAGA